AACAATGTACTGCAAAGGCAATAGCTCTATCAAATTAAAAAGTGGGACATCGCCAAGATTTGAGCTGCAAAGAGGCATCCGACAGGGCTGCCCTGCCTCCCCTTACCTATTCATTTTGTGTACTCAACTTCTTTCCACCCATATTAAAAATAGTGCTTTAAGAGGAATTTCAATTGCAGAAAGAGAAGTTATCCTCACCCAACTAGCAGATGATACTACATTATTTTTAAAAAATGCCAGCCAAGTGCCAATCGCTATCAAAACAATAGAGTTATTTTCTGCAGCTTCCGGACTCTGCTTAAATCTGAAGAAGTGTGAACTTTTTTCCCTTAAAGAAAGTGACACCTCCCAGATCTGTAGCATACCGATCAAAGATAAGATCACTTATCTAGGGATTACTATAATGAAAAATGAGGAGGAGAGATGCTCTGTAAACTTTAATTTAATTAGTGATAAGACAAAGAAAAAGTTAAATCAATGGCTGCAGAGGGATTTATCCTTGAAAGGACGAGTTTTGTTGACAAAGGCAGAAGGTTTATCCCGTCTTACATATGCAGCTATCCCCTTGTTTGTCAACAAAAAGCTCTGTAATTCAATTGATAAGTCTCTTTTCAATTTTATTTGGAAAAACAAGACTCATTATGTGAAAAAATCTGTTATAATGAACACATTTGAACGGGGTGGTCTAAACTTTCTTGATTTTACAACCCTCAATAATACTTTTAAAATAAATTGGATAAAGCACTTTCTAAAAAATCCTAACTCTACCTGGAATTTTATACCTAACTATATTTTTTCTAAGGTTGGTGGTCTAGAATTTTTACTTTTATGTGATTATAAAATAGAAAAAATTCCCTTAATTTTATCTAAATTCCATAAACAAATGCTCTTAGCATGGTCATTAATCTACAAACATAATTTCTCCCCACATAGGTGCTTCATCTGGAATAATCGGCTTATTAAATTCAAGAATAAATCCTTATTTTATAAAACCTGGTTCAATAATAACATATTTCTAGTATCCCAACTATTAAACGATAATGGATCATTGCTGAATTATTCTGAATTCCTTCACACTTTTGGCATTCCAATCACCCCAAGAGAGTTCGCAATTGTTATGGATGCCATCCCATCTGGTATTTTAATTCTCTTAAAAGGGACTAGAAAACCTGATTGCCTACCAGCTTTGGACCCTAAATTAACCTCAGTTGGTAATGTATGTTTCGCAATCACAATGAGGAATAATAATAGGAATATTCGCTCTTTATTCCAGAGAGATGTCACCTGCACCCCTAATGTTGTTCCCTATTGGTCTAACTTTGTTGATAACCTGAATTGGGGGAATATATGGAACCTTCCTTATAAATACCTCCTTACGAATAAAGTAAGAGAAATCTCTTTCAAAATGATACATAGGTATTATCCTGCTAAGCAATATCTCCTAAGGTTTAAGCTTGACATATGTGTTAAATGTTCTTTATGTGGAGTATGTCCAGAAACAATGGTACACCTGTTCTGGCAATGTCCCTACACCATCAGTTTCTGGAAAGATCTGTCCCGATACATTACTGTTAAACTTATCGCTGATTTTTCTTTGTTATGGAGGGATGTGCTGTTTGGTCTCCATGTTGACAAAGGTAAAAAACAGAAAGAAATATACCTAATTAATCTATTGATCATTTTAGGGAAATATCATATTCACAAAGCCAAATTTAGTAATTCTAAACCTTCCTTTATTGCTTTTGGTAAGGAGGCGGAACAGTACATCAAATCCATTTATGATTCACAAAATAAGAAGGCTGCTAAAACCATTCAGTTATGCTCTATCTTTAATGTATTTATTTGAAACTTCCCCTGGCTCTGTTCTTGTCTAATATTGTGTTTTCTGTATTAATGACTTTATTTGTGTGTCTTGCTGTTTGTATTGTTAAGATTTAATAAAAAAAAAAAAAAAAAAAAAAAAAAAAAAAAAAAAAAAAAAATCATGACTGCCACAAGAACTAAAAAAAAAAAAAAAAAAAAAAAAAAAAAAAAAAAAAAAAAAAAAAAAAAAAAAAACGATACTGTTCGGAATGTACCAGAAGAACTAGAGTGACGTGTAAAGGCGGAAATGACACGTCAATGGGCGGAGTTTTGACCTCATGTTCCTACTAGAGTGCTGATACGTGCTGGACGAGCGCTGCAATAATTATCACGCTTTGGCACTTTCAAGCTGATTCAATGCAGGGAAATGTTGCTTAAGGTTGTATAGTATATCCTGGTATTCTAATATGCTATACTGTTAACTAGACTACTGTAACCCAGGGACTCTTCATACACTAAAATAAATATTTGAATAAATGCATAGGCTACAGTAATAATGTTGTGGAAAAATCGAGGTTATGGTCAAAACATCAGTATGCACAGCGAAAGTATCCTTAGATACTACTACATATCTAGATCTGTTTTAAATTATAAAGAATTGGGATTTGATTCATATTGAATACATAAAGAGTATTTCAATGGAATTGAGTTTTGAGGTTTTAAAAAGAAAAACCACATGCATTTACATCACTTTTATGTTCTTTTGTAAACTCCGACTTCTTTTGTTTCTGACGATATTTTCTGGGATGGACAAAATTCTTTATTTAGGCGGAAAGAGGAAGTCTGTGTTTTCCCCCACGGTCACTGTTTAGCTACAAAGTACAAACTATATTATTTTTAATTAGCCAAACTTTAGGCAGGCCTATACCTTGTTCAGTGCACCCATACAGTCATAACATGTTATCCACACTGCCATTCACTCGCAGGTTAAGCAGGTACTGCAGTTTCAGGTGTTTCCTGCTGTCAATGCTTGATGCATCTAATGACAATCACCATGGGCGTAAGCTGTTTATGTTTTCCTGCTGCAAGGATTTTGATTCGGGGAACAGTTTAGGTGCTACAGCACTGTGAATACATTTTCGTCATGTGTATGTTCTATAGCTGACTCCTCTGAAAAACTACACACCCTTGATGTAACAGAAGAGGACTACAGAATTCCCAAAGAGATCAGTTCAAGCACACACACTCACACTCGCACACTCGTCTCTGTCTTTCCTTCACTCGTCTGTCTATCCTTCTCCAAACACACACTGTCATCATACACACAAACACCTCTCTTTCTCACTTTCTCCACCAAAGAGAGCCCTCCTCACTTTTCCTCCTCATAAAAAATGTCACATGTTCCTGCACTGTACATTCAACTGCAGATAAACAGTGCAATCATCTCTCATACAGAATAATCAGACAGAACTCTTCCCAACACACCCATAAAACCTCACCAATCAGATTCCACCCTCACAAACACTCTTTGAGCTGTTATGTGTGTGCTGCTGTTATTGACTCTGTTATGCATTGCCAATGGAGAGTTAGAATACCATTTGGACCCTTTTACGAAGGCCACATTCTGTTAACCCAGAGTACCCCCTACTCTATCACGTGGCTTGTTTTCAACATAACTTGGTATTTCATCATGTGCTTCTTTCCTCCCGAGCCCTGCACTGAACTTTGCGTAATCTTCAGGGCTGTTTTCATGGCTGAATATATAGGCCAAAACACATTGAGAGGGCAACTAGAAAGATAGACAAAAGGGAGGGGGGAAGTCACAAGATCTCCCTCAGACCCAAATGGCCCTAAGTGGCGTTGAATTAGTTGACCACATGAGAAAATAAAGCCTGAGCCATCGGAGAACATAATATGTAACTATTGACACAACCTTGTTTAGGATAAGTTTCATTGTTTCACAATGTCAAATCTGAAAATGACTCCGGTATCAAAACCAGTCTATGCCTTGCTTGGCTCATTGAAGGGGTTGAAACCATCAAAGCTTTCATTAGAATGTGGATCAGTTACTCCTGACTCCCTATCTCCGACTCAGCATGTCTGTAAAACGTGCTGGTGTCATTACAGTGTGTGTGCCCGTGGGTTCCAACATTCCCGTCCATCTGTGTCAAGATTCCATCCTGTTAAAGGTGGGTTAGAGTTCCAAGTTTCAAAATGTAACAAAAGTTGTTCTGGTGGTGTGTAATCCACATGCATTTTTCCTAAATAAGCTACAAGAGAACTAAATAATCAGAGGACTATGAACATGTGAAATTGTTGTTAAATTATTGAAGTATTAACACTTCAAATAAATATTTATTTATATATCAAATAATTATTTAGGTCAAAGGAGTTGGGCTTGATAAAAATGATTTGGAATTCCTGCAATTATACATTAATTTAAACCTTATTTATTTACATCACAAAAGTATAGATCCTAACTGTATTAGTTATTATGAAACTGTAACATTTTTATGTGTATTTGCAACCTTAGTAAGAACAGACTTATATACAGACAATATTAATACAAACTAATAAATGAGTAGGCCTACCTATATAGTTCTAAGAAAACAAACATTGCAGTATGATTATAAGCTATTGCTTTTATATTTCCTTTATAGAAAGCTGTTCTTACCAGCTGATCAAACACTCACGCTTAGTCAGGTGGGGTTTTTGACGATTAATTTGTCTGTTGCAGAATATTGCATCAGGCAGAATGAATGTACAGCCTACTAATGACGTCATGTACGATTACGATTATGGACATTTGAGGCTTCATCATACATTTGAGTGGATTTCTTATAACTGTACCGGTGTTAGTTAACAAGGCTTTTAGAGAAAAAGAGTGAACACATTAAAGCATTGCATCCTTCTATTCACCTCAGGCTATAGGCCTAATCATAACATTCTTTGCCAGCCCACGTGACTCTCTCTCTCTCAATTCACTCTCTCTCTCCTCTCTCTCTCCTCTCTCTCTCTCTCTCTCTCTCTCTCTCTCTCTCATCTCTCTCTCTCTCTCTCTCTCTCTCTCTCTCTCTCTCTCTCTCTCTCTCTCTCTCTCTCTCTCTCTCTCTCTCTCTCTGTGCGGAGTATGTATGGTACGTGTTTACAGCAGACAGAGACGAGGGGGCTGGTCTAACTGAAAGGAGGTGGGTAGGTAGGAAGGGGCGTGAGATTATAAAACCGAGGATCGCCTCTTGTCTTTTTGTACCTTCCACACATTAGTCCCTACCGCCCACGGCCACCATCTGCTGCTCCCGAAGCAGAGGCTCATACAACGGCGTCAAGCCTGGAGCTTTAAAGACAATAACGGGGTAAGTCGAGCTTTACATTCAGCTGATAGATCGATCGGGCTTGGCAGATGAGCGGACTAACAAATAAACTCCACGTTTTGATTTAAAAGGATGCTGCGCAACGGTCTGATTTGGTTTATTTTTGGCAGAGTGGAAAAGTCTAGAAATTACATTTAGGTCGGTTCAATATATTGTGCTGTCATTTGCCTTTCTGAGGTTTGTGTTTCTTCACACCGATTCCAAATGCTGATGGACTCTTTGCATTCGCTCTTTGTTGTACGATGTTTTGAATGATTAATTTTAATCATTGAGTATAGTGATTCGTTGAACATCACTAGTGCACGTGATTAGTCGCTTAAAGAAAATAACGTATGTCGTTGGATAACGGATGGAAATGGCGAGCTTTTCTACCGGAGTTATTCTTGGCTCAAGTCTCCGAGGCATGTAAATGCAAGTCCCTGCTTGTGACGTGACTTGCTATCACTGCGCCTGTAGTCTTATTTCGTCTGTTGCAGTAAGTAAGTTATTTAAAGGGCTAGTTAACTAAAAAAATTAGAGAATTCTCATGTCATTACAACCCACTATGCATGCTGACACACAATTGGACATTTTGAAGAAAGCCTTTATATTCACTTCAGTCTTAATGAATGGTGGTGACTGAAAATGTCAAGCTTCAAATAGAACGCAAAATCAGCATAAAAGTAGTCCACACGACTAGCTAACGTTACTTTTTTTTATTCCAAGTCGGGATCTGGAGCAATACGACGGAGTGACTGTGAAGAACAGTCCAAAATAAGCGGACACAAGAGAGTAGCGCTGTATGATTTGTGGACGAACGAATCATTTGAATCGAATCTGTTGAATCTCAATCTACTCAATTGATCTAATTTATAACACCGCAGGGCTGCGTCTCTCAAAAGCACCGTAAGCACAAGTAACGTTAGATCGTAGAGATGGTGGTAATTATTTTTACGATCAAACGACGCTTTTTTGGTGGGGCAGCCCTGAATGGTTTGTTCACGAATAGGACTGATCCGGTTCACGAGTTCAACTCTTCATGATCAAATCACCGGTTAAGACCAATAGTAAATAACAACTTGGTTTTGTTCTATCCTCGCACAAAGCTATAAAGAACGCTTGCAAAATAGCGTGTGAGTTGTTTGGAATAGTTTTATCGTGATTCTGCATCCTTTTTGGCATCTTTTAGTTCTCATCGCATGAGAAGCAGTTCTGCAGAAGAAAAAAATCATAGTCAGAAATATACAAAAATAGTACTTTGCAACGATATAAGAGTAATAATACATTTTCTAATATAAAAATAATAATAAAATGATCCCTTTGTATATGCATTTGGTTATTGTAAACTAGTTGTAGGAAATTACTGTTTTCTATGTAATTAAATACATTGTCAAATTAACCCCAAAAAATTGTTTGTTTTTCTCAGGTTTCCCGTTTAAAGCACCACGGTTCCCAAGACATTGGAATAGCTAAGTGAATTTGATCACTAAAGCTAAGACCACCGTTGTTGCCGCCCTCCACCAGTTCAAACAAAGTCACAAAAATCAGGACAAAATGGTGCAGAACAAGATCACCGAAGTTACCGGATTCCATCGCTCTTTCAAGGTGAGAGTGCGATCTCGCTAGTCTCTACTGCTGTTGCATGAATGAATGTTTAATTGCTTTGCCATTAGGCAATGGATCACATAATTGGCACAAATGTCATGCATAGGCCAGGGTGTCAGAGATCATAGAAGACCGTTTAAATATTAAACCGAATGCCAGGAAGTTCTTAGTTATCCATTTGAACTCTGGTTAAATGCCCAGCAGATACTTATTATCAGTGTGTGAACTGTTCAGATTGTGAATAATCTCCCTTTTTTATTTTTTTAATGTTCAGGGGCAAAATCCCTTTGAATCTGAGGAATTTTCCAAAACAGGATCCCATCTCCTTGAATCTGCCTTCAATTTTGATTGTTCCGCCCGGCCTGGTAAGTTGTTTTTTTTTTTGTTTTTGTTTTTTTTAATCTTACTTATTTAATCCAACCAGTAGGAAGACCTGAAATTTGACAAAGCACTGCCTGTAATTTGTGACCTCACACCAATATTTACATATTTTACTTTTAAAGATATGGGACAAATAACATCCGCTTACTTTTTTCTTAGTATAATCAAGCCACTTTCTGTGGGTGTTTATTCCTAACCACAGCGTATCAGGTTTTTAATTGGAACTTTCTTTCTGTTGTGACATGCAGAGATGCCCTCCAGCCGGCCCATCGACATCCCAGATGCCAAAAAGAGAAACAAGAAGAAAAAGAGATGCCGGGCAACAGACAGCTTCTCAGGGCGATTTGAGGGTGAGTTTTCTACTTTTGAATGGCTAAGGTGTTCAAGTATACTGCTACAGTTTGAAAGGTCCAAATGGGTTCAGTAGTTTATTAATATAACTTTTGTTTTGATTTCAGATGTATATAAACTGCAAGATGAGGTGTTGGGGGAAGGGGCCTATGCTAGGGTACAGACTTGCATCAGCCAAATCACCCACAAAGAATATGCTGTGAAGGTAAGATTCTTTATAGTTTACATGTGTTAAATTTGATTGAACTAACTTGAGTTGAGACGATGCAGGCACATCTTTGGGTAGTGTAACATAAAATAGCATATGCTTGTTGTAAACAAACCGATACTCCATGTGCAGCATCCGTGCAGGTATGGCATTCGCAGGTTATTGTTAGAATGGACTTTCCCTTTGACGCTGTCTCTTGGAAATTGAATCAAATGGGTAACGGGAATGATATTTCCCTCTTTGACAAGCATATGTGACTAGTTGTTTTATGCTGACTGGCACGGTTGCTTGTGATTGGTGAGGGCATGTTAGATTCCTGCAAGCTGTGGTGAAGCTATGGTCACGGTCAGGCCATACTTATGAAATTCGCACGTGTTTAAAATGGTAATATTACAGAATTCATTATAACTATTTTTTTTATTTGTGTATTTACGTTGCAAACTGAACTATCTGTGTAGTTTATTTAAACAGTTTTTTTTTTTTTTTACAGAGTAATGTTCTTATTTACAAACACGGATGTTTGAACAACCTCGGATATGTTATTGTAGTTTGTACGAGTTACAGAGCAGACTTAGCGGAAAGACTTTGTTATTTTTGTTAGACCGGATAGAAGGCCAGTCAGAGACGTGGAGCGGTCACATGCTCTTACCATTCATTGCTCTCATTGGCTGGTAGATTGAACCAAGGCAGGAACATTATGTACTGGCAAGTCTGCCAAAACATAAACCTCAAGAGAAAGGGGGGGCTTGGGTGGAGTTAAATCCTTGAATTGTTTACTTACTTTTTTTTGTCTTTCCCGCACATCGCGGAATCTAGAACAAAAGCATATTAGGAAATGTACATTGTGTGCCAGAAAATGTTGTTTTCACTTTTTGATGTGAGGAAGTGCAATTTTTTATTTATTTTTTATTAAGCACTTTAAATTTTTACATTATCTCTTTAAAAGAAAAAACCTTTGTGTTCTCCACCAAACAATATTTTTCTTATTGTGACAAAGACAGCGTTAATTTTATTTGTTGTTGTCATAACTTAAAATCATCCTCCTAGATTTCATAGCATGTTTTCTTTCAATATAGCCAGCCACACAAAGATAATACGATTATTTAGGGATGTGTTTCAATCCCTGAGGAGGATGGATCATTACAAGCATTAGGTCAGTTTATGCTGGGATGGGTTTCAGACAACTCTCACCAGATGTCCTGCCAACCCCCTCTTTGCGTGGTTTGGTTTGGGTTGGGTTGGGGGGTTGAGATCTGTGGCGTCCTAGTCTGAACAAAAGGAAAGGCTGAATGAAAACAACCCCAGTAGCCGCCTCAGCCGGGCCTGGGTAGTGTTTACAAGAGTGGTTTGATTTACAGACAGCGGTCAGACTCTATAGGGCCTCTTCCTAAGCTAACATGGAGATTTATTTGTGCTCTCACTCCCACTGTATTGTGTAATGTATTTGCCAACATTGTGAAGGATTTCTGTGCAACAAATAACATGTTTAGACTCCAGCAACTAGGTGAAATTTGTCACCACATCCCTCAGGTTCCCTCAAGCATTTATTATACCCTGTAATTTTTTGTGGTTTTTGAGAAGACGGATTGCTGACTCAGCCGTGTGGCGGCAGCGCTGGGGCTTTTGGGAATGCGCTGGCCCGCAGGCCTCATTCTTAACCCTGATACGCATTATGTGTTTGCCTGCACGCTCTCAATAGCGCTTCTAATCCAGGGAGCTGGAAGAGCCGCACACAATCAGGAAAACACAGAGGCCTCGAATGGGGGAGGATGTGATTTCAATGTCAACAGTAACTTTTGCTTGTACTTTTAGTCGTTGGACTCAGGGGGATTCAGAGTCAGTCGTCACTTAAAAAAAAGAAGAAGATATTTTTAGAGTTGTGCGTTTCTGTCTTAAAGGGATAGTTCACCCAAGACAGAAAAACATGTATGACATTCTTTCTACTGTGGAACACAAGAATTTTTTGAAGAATGCTTAAGCTGTTTTTGTCCATTTTTGTAATTAAATTTTAATTTAATCAACTTTTATTATATGCAACACACGTAACAGTAACATGCATGCATATAATACAAAAAAACAACAACACTTAACATGTGTATATGTTGGCAAACATTCATACAATTGCCAAAGCCTCGGAGAAGAAAGAATTGATATCATGTATCACAAAATAAATACACCCGAAAGCAGAGTGTTATACAGGTTTGGAATGACATGAAGGTGAAAAAATGACAAGAATTTCTATTTTTGGGTGAACTATTGCTTTGAAGTGGTTTAAACTGCTATGTTTATCGCTTTAGGATAGTAATTTGTAACCAAATGGTCACTGAGATTTTAAAGGGCGGTTGTCACTTGCGGCTTCTCATTTTTGCTTTGATCCTAACCTGGTATCTTTTTCACATCATAGATCATTGAGAAGAGGCCAGGACACAGCCGGAGTCGTGTTTTCAGAGAGGTGGAAATGCTGTACCAGTGTCAGGGCCACCGGTAACCCATTCATTTCTTTAATATCTTTATCTGTAAATATAGTCAATAAAAAGTCTATAATTGCGATACATTTTAATGGTCGACAATGTTATTTGAACTATTTTAATCTTTTGTCCACCCAACAGAAATATTCTGGAGCTAGTGGAGTTTTTTGAAGAGGAGGACAAGTTTTACCTTGTGTTTGAGAAGCTCAGAGGAGGTATGTGTGTTTTCTGTGGTGTTGTTACTTTTGAGAAACATTACCCAGCCTCCCCTGGGCCCAAAGACCAGCCCTGAGTAATTTAATTTAAATGTAAAGGCCGCATGTACTGGTGTTATGCGTAACAATGTGGGGTTTTTTAGGCTCCGTCTTGGCCCACATTCACAAGAGGAGATACTTTAGCGAGCAGGAAGCCAGCATTGTGGTGCAGGACATTGCGAGTGCGCTGGACTTCCTTCACAATAAAGGTATGAGAAATCCGATTGGGATGGGTTCTTAAGGCCTGAAAAGTGGAGATAAGAAGATGGTGTTACACATGGGGGGTGGGAAAGGGAAGGTTAATGGGGGTTGTTGGAAATCATATCTAGTTGTAACTCGATCATATTTCATCGACTAGCTTGAGGGATGCGCACTGGATTTCTAGGTTAAGTTGTGGGCTGAAAGGTTTTATTCCTGTCTGTACTGTTGGGTGAGGGGATGCTAAGGTAATTTTAGTAGCACTTGGCAACCAGCTGTGTTGGAAACATTTGCCCCCATCGACAATCCTCACTTAGCCTAAATACCACACAACTAACGCATGACTTGTTTGTGATCTTGCAGGTATGGCCCACAGAGACCTGAAGCCTGAAAACATCTTGTGTGAACACGAGCACAGGGTGAGTCTTTTACGACAGCATGTTTGGCTAGTCAGAAATTCAAGATACACTGCATTTGTGGTTTAAAAATTTTGATCAGATGATATGAGGTTTCCAGGCAGACTGTAATCGCATAGTCGTTTCTGAGCAGAAGTCATTTCCTGCTCACTTGTTTCTTGCAGATTTCGCCTGTGAAGATTTGCGATTTTGATCTGGGCAGTGGGATTAAACTCAACAGTGACAGTTCCCCCATCTCCACTCCAGAGCTCCTCACTCCAGTAAGTGTCTTTGTGACCCTGTGAACACTTGATTCGCACAAACAAAATATAGCATTTGGTTGAGAGACAAACAGGATAAGCCGTTAACGGCCTCCTCCCTAATGCTTCGAAGTCTATGGATAAGATGAACACATTGTCATTGTCGTTTCTTATCAGGAGGACCTGCTTTAATGCCATTGGTTGACTTGGGGTGGTGTCAGTGATGTAGCTCATTCTGATTGGCTAATTTAATCATTCTAAAAACAGTGCTGAGGTCAAGGAATGGTTTTATGAGCAGAATGGAATTTTTAAAGAGGCCAAATCCTGTTGTGAAATCGTGGAGCAGCAGTATTGAGTCCATTCTTTGTTTATCTACATTCCTGTAGTTATCGACTTCACCATCTTGTGGATAAAATGGCTTACAAACTTACAATCTCAAATTATAACCGGTTACGGTTTCTTTCAAAATATTTAAAGCTCTTGCGTTTATCTCTGCAGTGTGAATGTGTAAACAAAGATCTGTCTTCAACTTCATAGATTTGAATGATTGGGGCGAGACAGCTTAGAACAGGTGATCTGGCTAGGGGTCGACAGTGAGAAATCCTCCGCATGGGGCTTTCAGGGTAACCCGAGTGGGGTCCATCAGCTTGTTGAAAAGACTATTTGTGGACTGAATAGTTAAAGGGTAAAAGGTTCTTGTGTATCTAGTAAGTAAACAATGTGGGGTTTGTCTTTATGCCCTCTGCTTGCTTATTAGCCATAGACTGTAAAAAAAAAAAAAAAAAGTTATTGGCTAATAGTCATATGTGATTCTGCCATAGGGGAGAGGGTTTGATTTAATACATTGCATGTATTTAAAGAGATAGTTTGCCCAAAATAAAATTATTCTGTCATTTACTCACCCTATTGTCATTCTATAATGGACGTCCAATATTGTTTTTAAAACGGTTAAAACATTCTTTAATTTATCATCTTTTGCATTCCACCGAAGAAAGGAAGTCATACAGGTTCTGAACATGAATCTTCATTTTCGGGGGGTAAACTATCCACTTAAAAGTTCAAACTTTGTTGCACAGTGAGAATTAATTGAAATGAAAATATTCAGTCTCTACATTACAGAAATGCAACTAACTTCGTCAGGAAGGGATTTTTAAACTTTGAGCTAGTTTTTAGATTGTTCCAATTTTATCATTCCCTCCCCTAATGCTACTTCTGGACAGCTTAAGGAAAACGAGAATTCAACCCAAACAAACATTTCTAGCCTTTTTGCTCCAATTTCCTGTCGGACCTTCTCCCTTCAGCACATTTTAGACTCCATTTCTCTTTTGTTTTTGTCTCTGTGGATATTTCCTCAAGCCTGTCTGGGAATTAGTCTTTCAATCTGTGTTACCACCCCACACCTAGCAACTGCTCTGTGATTGGTTTGGTGAGAGGGAGGATGAAAGGGGGAGGAGCATCTAGTGCACTCTGTGGTCATGCACTCAACATGTTTTTCTTGGGCAGGATCCCAGGGATCTTATCGGGTTTTTTTTTTTTTTTTTTTTTAACTTGCTAGATGTTAACTCTTTGTTTGTCACTAGATTGCTTTGCATTATGAGATTTCTTTCCCCTTTTTTTTCTTTTCACTGTTACCGCAGGCTTTTTGTGTGTGCGTGTAGTTTGATCATAACAAATGCTTCTAAAAAGGCATGATTTCTGAGATGTACATGTACCTTCCTGCCTGAACCACGTAGAAAAGTGCTTTCTCTTTATGCTTTTGCACTGCATGTGCTTCTATACTGTTAACCTATAACCACAGGGGAAATTCATATCTGCATACATGTAGCCTATAGGTGACTCGCTCGCACAACTGATGCATGCCTCACTGCCAACCACAAAAACACCTGAACCGACAACACGACTGCTCAAGCCCGTTTGTCCTTCCTTGAAAATCCCCATAAATATCAACACTTGTTAGATGCTAGTAGCTACATTGCTCTAAAGTGACTGATGCAATGCTATGCTAGTCTTACAGATGAAGTTTGTCTTGAAAGTGAAAATCTGTTGCGCAGTTATCATTTGAAACCCCCTCCCTCACTCTTATCTCAAAGACCCAGAGATAGGCACACGAGTGAGCCAGAGGAATATAATTCGATTTTACAGAACAACTGCTGCTAAACGTGAGCCCTCATTTATTAATTACAGGTTACTCTGTTTCTAGAAATCTGGTACAGTTGGATAACTGAAAAGTTAGATATTGTAGCTATGTTTTTGCTATCAGCTGGGCTGCTCTGGATTGGTCGTGCTTTGTGAAAGTCTTTTTGTTCAAGAGTGGGGGTGGTTGTGAAGTGTTCACTTGAATGTGAGGGTGTTGAGAGGCGGTGAGCAAAAACAGCCGTGTCGAGGGGGGTTGGGTGCAACAGTGGAAGCTTTTGTCTGCACTCGGATTCCTGCACTGCGAAATAGCATTACATAAGTGCAGGAAGGCGGAGCAACAACGGCAGCTGGGTTGAGGATAACAAAAGAGACTAGCAGAGCAGACCGACCGCTTCCTTTAACCTCAGAGACGCAAACCAAAACATGACCATGTTGCACTTGAACATCTGTGAAAACATCCAGAGGGGGGGTGGTTCATACCCGTCGTTGGATTTGCGATATTAGTTTGCTGTACGCCCACTTTTGAACTTCACCCTCATTCAATAATGTATTAATAAGTGTTCTTTATAATTAATAATTATATGGGCAAATTAATATGCGTTTTCATGTTGGGTTCAGATATTGGCCTTTGATAGATGGCTTAGAACTGTAGTGTACGAATTCTGGGAAGTTCTGGGATTCATGAAAAAACAAACAAAAAAAACAAACGTTGAAGCGAGTTATTTTGTAACTCTGACCTCAGTCGGCGTTGCATAATAAGAGTTGCTTAATGCAGCAGGCTGGCCCAACCCACTAAGGAAAACTAAAAGGAACTCAGTTCTGCAGATCCTTCTAGAAATCTTTGTTTGTCCTGCTGAACTACTGAACTGTGTCTCCAGAGAGGTTTTATCCTTTTACATCAAATTTGTGTGGGTCTGTGTGCTGTTGAGGTTGCAAACGAGTGTGTGTTGCTGTTATGTAATAAAGCACAGTTTGTGGGTTTTCTGGGACACACGATCCTCTTTATCGTGTCCCAACGCATGACCTAGTTTCAGGCAGAGGCGGTCAGAGCCCAAACCAACAAAGTCTGCATGCAGCTGAGCCTTCAAAACACTCCATGACTCACTGTCCTGCCTCCATCTGTGACATAACAATTTCTTACTGCAGTTACTTAATTTAAGGTGCTGTATGCCACCATTGCATTTTCCATATGGACTGCAGCAGAAACGCGTTTCGTTAGCAAGAACCAGGCGTGAATCCTTTGTCATTCAACCAGTTAATCTATCGCCAACCCCCCCCCCCACCCTCCAGCTTGCCGCGACCTGCTGTTTACCATGTGATTCTCATGCAGTCTGTCTCAGACGTGCTTAGGGGTCCCACCGAACACATCACGCATGGTAAACAAGGATGTGGATGGGGGAAAAAAACGCTTTAGAAATTGAAATGCAGCTGTACAGAACCAACACATGCACATTTTTTTCTTTGTTCTCAATGTGACTGCAGAGTTCCATGTTTTTGCCTCATCACTAGTGGCAGTTGATTACCTTCTTCTCACCCCTTCTTCCTCTTTTTCTCACTCACTTTAGTGTGGATCTGCTGAGTACATGGCGCCAGAAGTGGTGGAAGCCTTCAACGAGGAGGCCACAATCTACGATAAGCGCTGTGACCTGTGGAGCCTGGGTGTCATCCTCTACATAATGCTTAGCGGTTATCCCCCCTTCGTGGGACGCTGTGGAAGTGACTGTGGATGGGAGAATGGAGAACCTTGTCAAGCGTGCCAGGTACAAAACTTGCCCTCGTCTAGTCATGCCAGCCACTGCACACCTTTGTAAACCTACGTCAAAAGTATTACATTCATGTGCTGCTCAATGGAATAATAAAACTCATCTCTTGTTTCTTTTTTTTTCTTTTTCTCCCAGAACACCTTGTTTGAAAGCATTCAGGAGGGCAAGTACGAGTTTCCGGAGAAAGAGTGGGCTCATATTTCCTCCAGCGCCAAAGACCTCATTTCCAAACTGCTTGTGCGGGACGCCAAGAAACGTCTCAGCGCCGCTCAGGTTCTCCAGCACCCCTGGGTACAAGGGGTAAGGAACTGAATGTTTTGTTGTCTTCACTACAATTCTGTAAAAAAAATAATATTTTTTAGTAACTTTAAAGCCGTATCTTCATGATTATTATTTTTTTTTTTCAGGGTGCCTTTGACTATTCCCCCTCCTCTATCCTGCCGCAAAGGTGAGTTGAGTTGGTACAAGCTTTTCTTCTAGTATATGCAGCTTGTAGCATCCTCATCAGGCTAACATTGTCCTTCCTTCCACGCTCACAGGAATAGCTGTGCAAAGAACCTGACTTTCTTTGCGGGCAAGGCTGTTGCTATGAACCGGCAACTGGCCGAGCAAGACGACCTGGAAGAGCAGCAGCACCAGGACCCTCTTCAGGTCATCACAGCCACTGGCACATCCATGCGCCTCTCCCCTCCCTCCAACTCCAAACTGGCTAAGCGCAGACAGCGGAGTAGCCTGCTGAAAGGAGCGCCCGTCTCTGCATCTGAGCTCAGGCAGCTCCTGGCACCGCTGGTCATTGTGGGAGACTGCGCTTAATCGGTTGAGCTGGGCTCCCAGTGAACAATTTTCCAATTTCAAATGGACGAACAAACAAGTATCTGCTATCTTTTGTGCAAATCCTTCTCTGTTTCTTCTGCCCACTTGAATGGGACCCAGTCCTTTCCTAAACCGTGGTTCAGTTTGTGCCTGTTGTAAATCCATTTAATTCCCTCAAGCACTGGAGCAAGAGCTCCTACAGCACTTTGATCAACTTTCGGCAGCTTGGGAATCACCTTAAGAGCTCAAGGTGAATGAACTGGACTCTGTTTAGGATAGCGGTTGGGTTACATAAGCCATTCGGAAATTTGTCTAAAGGTAGAGCATAAAATACCAGCTCAAACACCAAAGGTCTAATACCCCCACCCCCTACCTTTTTATGTGCTGCTTCCACATTACAACTGGATCCACTGTGAATTTTCTCTGTGAGAGATACAACTGCATTTGTTTTTCAGGAACGTTCTTCCTGGTATGTGTTTGTGTGTGAGAGAGAGAGAGAGAGAGAGAGTGTGTGTGTGTGTGTGTGTGTGTGTGTGTGCGCATATATCCCCATCCCCTTCAGCAGATACTGAAGATACTGGTATGTGCTTATGCAACTCTGATGAAGGCTATTTTGACTTGCATTACTTTAGCAGAGATCTTGTATAAGTGGAGCGAAACTCTGATAATAGTGCCTCACCTTACTTAATCCATCACTGTCCTTCCCAACAGCCTTTTAATTCCAAGAAGAAAATCCCCTTATCAATAGAAATAGCTAGCTTTTTTCCTCCATTACTCAAGCACTTCCAAAGTGTGTCCTTCCAGTACAGACTTTGCATCACTTAGCCAGACTAGCCCGGCAGTCTGCTTTTGAGACATGGGTTCCCCTAGTTAAGGAACCAGTACACATGCTGCATTTTACTTTGAATGCAAGGTTTCTGCCTTGCAAGACTCAAATTGGAATTGCAGCATCAGATGCATTCAACCTGATGTCTAGGAAAACATAAGTTTCCTGTAAAATTCACCAAAAATCTTGTCAGGTAACTGAAAAGAGTGAATACAAACATTTCTGAGCACAACTGGGATTAAGTGCATGCTGGGAAGCAACCAGGTGGTTGCACAAGCACACGTTTGCCAATGTGACTAGATGAATGACGATGGTTGGTATCAGGGAGTCGAGGCTTTGAACTTGTTCCCCACTTTAAGGGGGATGATTATGGTACGGAAATTTCAAACTATCAGCTTGTGGATGCCACCAAAAGCGAACTATATCAATATTAAGAGTGGAGGGAGAGATTATTTTCAAGTAACTGAAAATGTAAAAAAATTAAAAAAGGAAAAAACATTCCAGAAAAAAAGGATTTAAAAAAACGGATAAAAAAAAAGTCTTCCAAGAAAATGTAGCTGTATGAGTGAAATGGTCTAAGAAAGTTTACTTGTTTTGTTTTTGTTTTTGTTTTTTACACACACACCCATATATTATATACACGTTAATGGTTGACTCCAATTTAGAGTGTGCCACACTGATGTTTCAAACTTGGTTGAGCTTTGTTGAACTTTTTATTGAAAGAATATTTTCTATCTTATTTTTATGCAGGTGCTGTTCAGGTGGAACGTTTTCCTTTTTTATATAGTTTTGTTACTTTATTAATGTTGATTTATATGCTGTAAAGAGCAAGGGTGTTTGTGACGAGTTAGAAGGAAGGAAAAAAACAAAAGCAGGAAAAAAAGAGGGAGTCATATAGGCATACATATCTGATATTTTACTGTTTTTGTTCTTGCTTTGGAAGTGACTTCAGGGTTGTTTAAACTCCCCTTTTCTCTCAGAAATTATTGTTGGCTTGATATTTCTAGTAAGATACAACCATTTTTGCCAAAGTGCGCTCGTTTCTAAAATCTAATGCACTGAGGTATCTGGGAGTGCTGATCTCGGATCAGTTTTAGCATTTCCCCATACCAATTCATAAGACACAGCATACTTGGTTGAGCTGAGCACAGACCATCACTCCCTCTCCGAGGTGCATAAAACATTTGAACCCAGTCGTCTGGATTCAGATTAAGTCTGTATGAATTCGTGTCACCAATGGGAGTCCAAATCACCCAAGCATATGATCCTGTTGAATGTTTTCAGAGTGTCACTCACCTGTCTTGTTGCTCTGAGATATGAGAAACCTAATGGCAGTCCTTGATTTTGAAGGGCCCATTATGCTGATTATTATGACACTGATTGTAACCTTTATTGATTTTGTCTTTCTTTTCTTTAAGAATCTTTTTACAGATCTTTGTGGGTTTTTTATGTCTTACAGTAAGACTTGAATTGTATGTGCTACGGTTTCCTCATGTTTTGTTCAGGAAACTTATTTTGCTACAATGTACAAATGGCAAACAAAAATGTTCATAAGCTGAGATTTAAAGCAATCTTTGGTCTGGAAAGTAACATTTCCGCCACTTCTGTTCAGTATTTTGTCTGTCTTCTTGGCTTAGCTATATTTCAGATTTCCCAAGTGTTTGGGTTTGTATTTTCTGAAATGTCTGTGGCGCTTGGCTGGTCCTCTGAAGCCCCTGTGCCTCTGACAAAATATTCACAACTCTTTTACCCATATGGTAGTTATGGGTTGCCTTGTAGTAACAGATCTGACTTGGATTCTCAAGAATATATATAAATATATATATTTTCAGGGGGTGTGTAGAAAGTTCTCATTCAATGTTCCTGTTTTACACAGGCCAATTTTTGCCATTATAAACAAGTGTAAAGTATTGTAATATGAAGTCCCCCCAACCCCCCCCCCCCATTATTTTTCCACCAATGCAATGATTATGAGAAAGTATTCAGGTGCACAATTTTTTTTTTTACATTTTTTTTTTGTTTTATAATCTAATGTGACCCTTTAGTCTAAACTCTGAAGGCTATTGTTTTTAAGAGCACTGTTTGTCCATTTCCAAAATTAAACTCTGTCCAAAATAATAATTTGGGAAAAATCTGACATGGGGTCTCACTTGGGACAACATAGGTATTGATTTAAAGAAGCACTTTACTGTACCATGTGGCTGACTGCAGTTCACTCGAAGCTAAATTTATGACTGTTGTGGCAGAATTTTGTATTGTTTTGTACAAAACAAACCAACAAAAATGCAATAAAATGCTTTGAACAATGTTCGTTCTTTTGAGTTGAATTGAACTTTTATCAATCCCACCACTGCGTGTGTTCACACAGAATCACGAGCCTCATATCACATGCTGATACTGCAAACATTGACACTTCTAATAAAGCTCAGGCTCTTTGAAAGGGTACTCTTGGAGTGACTGATCCTGTTGACATAATCGTGGCTTTCGGAGTCACCTGCGCATGAGTCACATGGTGCATCACCTCACTAAGTAAACATGCTGATTTTCACTTGAACTTTCCAGGGCCGAAAGCTTCTTTACAGAGTCTGATGCAAACACAAGGGAAAGTTAGCCAGCCCACGGTTGCCATGGAAATCTCAGAGCAGCTTGTCAGCCTACTGTAAAAGTGTGGGTTGAACATGAACATGCAGAGGGAGTGAGAACAAACTGTTTGGATCACACTACTGTGTATCCTTGGGTTCACAAGTGGGAGCGTGAATGAATCAAGCACCATTTTAAATTTGTTTGTATATTTTAACATTATTGATATAGATAGTATACATATACTACAAGTTCAAATACTAGAATGGGTAGTTGACAAATAGCAGGTCCTTTTTTTTTCTTCAATATCAAGATTTTAGATTGACATGCATAATGGGGAAAGCAGATATTTTAGGTGCTGCAACTATTCACCCTTGATTTAAAGTTTTCAGCCATTGTAATCCATTTTTAAAATGTTTTATTTTTATTTTTTAATAAAAAAAAACCCAATCATTTAAATGGCCTTGCATTGACAAAATATTTTTTAACAAATATGTAATTACAAATATTGCAGTCTTAAAATTAGACCATAAAACTGCATGTACACTAATTAGAAAAATTGATTGAGATGGCATTCAGGTGTGTGCAATTATTATTACTAAAAATAAGTAAAATACAGACCCATGTTTTGCATCTTGATAACAGAGGTTCATATTTCACACTATTATAATGGTATGTCTCCCTCTAGTGTTAGAAAAGCACTTTCTTTCACCAATGACCAATGCTATCTCATTGGATATTGTTTAGTGGTAATTAACCTGTTACTTAAGAAATTTAGCAATGTATGTCACTTGCCAGCGATATATTAGGATTTCAAATATATTCTAATTATACCTTGTTTCTAATAGGCTGAGAAGTCCTGCTAATTAAGAGTTGAGATGTCATTCAGGTGTGTGCACCTGATCAAAAGCATTATAGCTTTTGAAATCAAATTTTGTGTGTTAGTAAGTGAGGGGTGTATTTGGACCGTATTGACACTGGACAGATTGCTTTTGTTATTGGATTCAATTGCGCATGTATATTTGTATGTATAAGGTGAGTATAGTTTCTCTCACAGAAACTGATTTGAGTTTTTTTTAAAAACTGTTATTAATTTAGTATCAATGTCTTAACACTAGATCTATTTGAACCCTTTCATGCATGAATTATGATAACCTCAGTCGGGATTTTTTTTTCCTATGTGTTTTTATTGCTCTTAGGGCATGAAAAACAAGATTTGATTTTAAATTGTTACAAATTTTCCAAAGAGATTTTCAGCTGTCCACTTGAGTGGACAGCATGCATTTATGGTTTAAACTGAAGAGATACTATATTAAACACAATAATCAAACAGAAAAAGTATGTGTATTTAACAAACTAATCAATACAATTATATCAAATCATGTGAAAACTATAAAATATATACAAAAAATATAAATCCGAAATATTGTAAAGGCAATCGACCTTCATACAAGTTGCACTTTGTGTATCTTTGATATCAGAACATGAGGATGTGATTCCATCAGACATTTCTACTGCCTGTCAAGGTGTGGAAACCACTCAGATGCTCCCTCCAGTGTGCCAGAGTATGTCAATTTACCCTTATTAGCTGATAATTCTGATTATGTTCAAGATAGACACATTTCTAGCATAGGCCTCTTCTGAGAAAACCTAGCGATACGTATTTTTCAATCTCATCTGAAATTAGCAGTGTTGGGGCATGCATAACGCATTCAGATTACTTTTTTGATGTTACAAGTAAAAGTAATGTGTTACAAGTAACATGCATTACATAATCAGATTTGTTTTAATGTTACGAGTAAAGTAATGTATTACAAGTAACATGTATTACCTAATCAGAATAGTTTTTGATCTGTAAAGTAATTAATTACAAGTAATGTGCATTACGTAATCAGATTACTTTTTGTTGTTACGAGTAAAGAAACGCATTACAAGTAAAATGCATTCCCTAATCGGATTACTTTTTGGTGTTACGAGTAAAGAAAAGCATTACAATATCGTACATTACGAAATCAGATTACTTTTTGATCTAAAAGTAATGCATTACGTAATTAGATTACTTTTTTGATGAAATGAGTAGTAATACATAAGTCACATAAATTATGTAATCACAACTTTTTTTCGATGTCAATGAAATTAACATTCTAATAATACAAATAGATTTATTTACAGTAAAAAAAAGTCACTGCAGATTAAGTATTTTCAAAAACAGTATTCACAGTAGAAGTATGAATTGTAGCTGAAATATAGCCATTGATGCATGAGGTCCACTATAGTGGACAGGTGATTAATCAGTTTTTTCTCCAAATCTAAAATCAAAACTTGGAAAATTTTACTGTCATATGACTCATTAGATATTGCTTGATGCTGCAATATCTTTTTTGCCTACAAGAGTCTCCTCGGATAGAAGGAATGGGTGGATATTCCGGAGCAACTTGGCATTTCTGACTGACCATTGGCCATCTTGGTTTGGAGGGGGAAAAACTCGAAACACAACGGCTTGCAACTTGGTTGCAATGTATAGGATGATGCACCAGGGTCCACTGAAGAGATTGCCGTGCAACTTTGCCATCAAAACCCTTGCAAATTCAAGAAAATGCTTTTTTTTTTAATAGCTGTCCACTGTAGTGACCATTATGCATGAAAGGGTTAAAGTGCAATGTAGTCACTTTTTTTTATTTTATTTTTTTATTGTAATAACTACCCGTTGAGGGGGGAAATAAACTACTTCAAATCAGCCTAAGATGGTTTATTGTCCCTGGCTGGGTACTCAGCTTTGTCTGGTTATATGTGATTTTAGAGATTTTCTTTCTGGTCAAACTGGGAAGATAACTTTCCAAACAGCTGAATTCTAGCCTGGTATGGATGTATATTTTTGCAATGGACCTGGTAATCTAACCTTTTATACAGATCAATCGAATAGTAAGGGATCCACTACTTTGATTTCAAAATACATTAGTTAAAAATTCTTGTTTTCCAGATTGTTGCAGACCAAAGACGCTCTAGTGGGGAATGACTGAATTGCAGGCTAT